AAAAGATTTTCAGAATTTTTACAACTCTTTTGCTTTAGACCATCTACAAATGTTAAATCATAAAATAAAATGTTAGGGTTAACACTGCATCTTTCTGGGGAAAAAAATGCAGTGATTGATATATACAGAGGGTAAAATAAGTATTGAACACGTCACCATTTTTCTCAGTAAATATATTTCTAAAGGTGCTGTTGACGTGAACTTTTCATATAAAGAAAACAAAACAAATAAGTTCAGAAATTAAGCTATGTGTAATAAAATGGAATGACCCAGGGAAAAAGTATTGAACACGCTTACTGAAATTTATTTAATACTTCATACAAAAGCCTTTGTTGGTAATATCAGCTTCAAGACGCCTCCTGTATGGAGAAACTAGTCGCATGCATGGCTCAGAACTCGGATCTTTAGTTCTTTCTTTCCATAGATTTTCTATTGGATTCAAGTCAGGTGATTGTCTGGGCCATTCTAGCAGCTTTACTTTCTTTCTCTGAAACCAAATGAGAGTTTCCTTGGCTGTGTGTTTGGGATCATTCCACAAGTGATCCTTGGCTCTTAGAAAACTCGTCTGATAATTCTTTTCACTCCTCTGTCAGAAATCTTGCGAGGAGCACCTGGTCGTGGCCGGTTTATGGTGAAATGATGTTCTTTCCACTTCCGGATTATGGCCCCAACAGTGCTCACTGGAACATTCAGAAGTATAGAAATGCTTCTGTAACCAATGCCATCAGTATGTTTTGCAACAATAAGGTTGCAAAGGTCTTTAGAGAGCTCTTTGCTTTTACCCATCATGAAATGTTTCTTGTGTGACACGTTGGTCATGAGACACCTTTTTATAGGCTATCAGTTGGGACTAAACCAGCTAATATTAATTTCCACTGGCAGGATTGCTTTCTAATTACTGATTACTTGGGTTGTTACCGACATCTGGTGAAAATTTAATGTCAACAGCACCTTTAGAAATATATTTACTGAGAAAATTGGTGATGTGTTCAATACTTATTTTATCCGCGGTATATAAAATGTGTACACTGACACTTTAGTTAAAGTAAATGACAGCAAAAAAATGAAAACTGAATCTTTAGAAAATATCTGAGCTGGTGAGGTTGTGAATATCTAGAGAAATCTAGACATTTGTTTCTTTCTTTGACTGTAACGTTCTGAAGGCTGCTGGTGATTGTTGGCATTGTGTTTCTAACAAAAATACAGAGTGATGGGGAGTTATGAAAAAATCTGTCATCAATTATTCATTTCAAACCTGTATGTCTGATCCCTTCCCTCTGCCGAGTATTGTTTAGCGCCTATCTCTTGATAGCTACTCTACAGAGCCCTCGTTAGCTTCCTAGCCTAGCCTAGTCTTGCCTTGTCTGTTTTCTCGGTTTTTTGATCTGTGCCTGTTTTCCTGGATTTATCCCTTTAGTCTCGGCCTTGTGATCCTGTTCGCCAATCGTTGACCTACGCTAGCCCTCGGACTATTCTTGTGTCTTGCCCGCCATATACCTGTTTGCCACGGTTCGACCCTGCCTGTGTTTCTGACCTCCTCTCATGTTAATAAAGCTTGCATATGGATCCGCACGTCTCACGTCTTGTCAGCCCCGTGACAATGCCTTTTGTTCATCTTTGACACAAATAAGGATATGTTTAATAAAACTAAATTCCATTTAGTCCATTTTACTGTAACTATGACGCTTCACAAAGTTCATAGACATTGTAAAAGAAATCCTCATGAATCAAGCAATTTAATTCAAATCTTCTGTAAAGACACAATCGCTTTATATGAAGAACAGCACGATTTATATGGATTTCTTTTATAATCTCGTATGAACTTTTTAAAGTGTCAAACTTTTGGTTACATGGACTTTCAAAGGAGGGACTGAAATCTCTCAGATTTCATTAAAAAGATCTCAAATTGTCTTATTTCAGTCTTTAAGTATTTACATCTTATTAGTTTGAAATGACATGAGGGTGAGTAATTGATGACGATTTTCATTTCTGGGTGAACGATCCCTTTAAAGTAGCCTGGTTAACATCTTCACATCCTCATCTTCAAAGAGTGTCTTTGGTACACAGAGATTTCCACCTGACTTGACTGTTAAAAACACTCCAGAAGATGCTTTCGGTTTTATATTTGGTTGTCCAAATAAAAACAGATTTCTTTAAAATGTCTACAGACTGTCTAAAAAGTTTTGAGATCACATTCATTGACTTTTAGCACTCGTACCTTCCAGCTATGAAATAAAAAAACAATTAAAGGAGAACTTTTTGCTTAGCTTGACCAAATACAGACACACAGAGTTACACGATACATCCACGAGATTGCGGCTCAAAGACTGGCGCTCAACTATATGCATGAGGTCACAATCAATATGGTGTCTTTTACTGATCTGAATGAATCCGGCTCCATAAAAACAGCATGTACAGTAAAACTGGATAACTCAACCCAAGGAACATGTACAGACTCTATACACAGAGCAAAATACAATAGATAGGTCATAGTTAGCGTCTTTCTGAGCTACATGTGTCCATGTTTTCTTAAAGGGATAGTTCACCCAAAAATGAAAATTCTGTCAATAATTACTCCCCCTCATGTCGATCCAAACCCATAAGACCTTCGTTCATCTTTGGAACACAAATTAAGATATTTTTGATAAAATCCGAGAGCTCTCTGACCCTCCGTAGACAGCAAGGGTCCTACCACGATCCAAACCATAGAAACGTAGTAAGGACGTCGTTAAAACGGTTCATGTGACATCAGTCGGGACAGTCCTCCGCCATTATCGACGCATGCGCGTGGTGCTGCTGACATAGAACACGCACTTCACCTTGTTCATAAGCAGAGGAAAGCAATGTTGATAATGGTGGAGGACTGTACCAGAATAGAAGAAATTGTTGAATAAAATCGTCATTTGTTTTCTTTGTGCACAAAAAGTATTCTCGTAGCTTTGTAAAATTACGGTTGACCAACTGATGGAACCACATGGACCATTTTAACGATGTCCTTACTACGTTTCTGTGCCTTGATTGTGGTAGGACCCTTGCTGTCTATGCCGGTTTCAGAAAGCTCTTGGATTTAATCAAAAATGTCTTAATTTGTGTTCTGAAGATGAACGAAGGTCTTACGGGTTTTGAAGGACATGAGGGTGAGTAATTAATGACAGAATTTTGATTTTTGGGTGAACTAACCCTTTAAAGCCTGAAGGTGCATGAATAAAAAAATGTGCATAAAAACATACACATCCTTATTACATTAACGTAGATGTGCTGTAGCTAAGTTGGCCTTTGTACAAATGGCTTTTGATGACTAACCCAGTTTTCTGGCTGGTCCCTTCAGGCTCGCTCTTGGTCTCTGGAAAGAGAGTATGGTGAAGCCACATTATGAAACCACTTCCACATAATCAGTTTTTGGAGTTTCTGCTACAGCAATCAGCAGAATTTTATTCTTTTTACTTTCAATGTTTTCTTCAACTGATGAGTTGTTTGCAAACAAGTGCTTGGTGTAAATCCAATGTCGGTTGTAAAGAGACGTAGTGACTTGATACCTACAAAGATCCTTTTTTGCCAAATATGGTAAACAGGACTGTTTCAGAGCAGTGGCACTTCCTGGGACAAACACTGCAGCACGTCATTATGTGCAGTATTTGTTTCTGTGTTAATCTACACGTGAATATACGAGCATACAAGCAAGTCAGATATGTACGTCTAGAGACAAGAGGCTATATACAGAAACAAGTCCAAAAGGCTCAAGTCCAGTTTGAAAAGCACATCAATGACACCGAATGGCCATCTGTGGTTGTTGTTTGGTGACTCACCAGATGAAGCATGGCTGGTAAAGTTTATCTGAGGTGTTCTTGCATGATGAGGAGGTATCTTTTCATGGACAACAGTGAAACAGCACCAATCGTTTCTGGTCCCTCGATATTCCCGATTGAAGTAAACCTCCACACCGGATGTAGGTCCCTCGCTGTCCTCTCTAGATGAGTGGAGGGAGTGTCAAGATGATGAGAGTTTTGCTCTAGATCTTGATTCCTTCTTGTTGACTGAGCTGGGATAGAGACTTTTTCACACGAAGCGCGGTGAGGCGAGCGCCTCCGTTGGCGTACCAGCATTCCCTCATGATCTTTGCCATCACACGCAGGGCCTGCGGTCAGGAGGAGACAGATGCTATCACAGGTATAATTATTATGCTATACACATTCCCTAACCTTCTTTTGCATCTCTTGCGTACATGCACAGAGAGAATGACTGCTAAAACTACTGAGCTTTACCAGCCATTTATTGCTGTTACCAATCAATTAATCATTTGGCATTGGTGAAAGTCGGGAAATCTTTATGTGCATCCTATTCATGAGAGTTAGTACTGATAACTAGTACTCAAACTATTAACAGTAATTTTTGTTAATTGAAATAAAGCTGAAATTAATATAAATATTCAAAGAAGAAAATAATATTGCCTTGGCAATTGAATAAAACTAAGTAAAATAAAATAAGTTGAAGTACTAAAATAATCAAAATTAAAATAGAATTCAAAAGCACATTACAATAACTAAAACTAAAATAAAAAAATCACTGAATATATAAAAATTCATATCTAATTCAAAATATTATTAAATGCTATAATAGTATATAAATAATAAAGATGATATTAACAGCATAGTTTTGTTGTAAAAAAATTAATAATGGCACTAAAAACATACAAATATTTTACAAAATTTATTATTGGTTAACATGAGGTTGAATTGACTGTAATGGAAATGTGTTGGAACCATAGGCTAAACAACAAATTTTTACCTTTTTTCAGCAGGCATACACATTTTTTACATTCCAACTGACATACGTATTACAAAACAATGATATTTATATGACAAAAATACACTCAGAATCACTAGAGTGACAGCATAAAACTGGAATAAAATTATTCGAAATACAACTAGAAAAGCACTCTAGTTGATGTAAATTAAATCTTCATATTGAATATACTAAAATGTCCCTTCAACATAGCAGTCACTTTAGGTAAATCTAAAGTAAGAAGCTATGACCTCAATGAACTAAAGCGCTTCTGAACAACCATCTTTATCAAGCAATGTTGTAATTTCTCAACTCAAGTCATTTGGCTCCTCAAACCTTTTAATTCAAGAGCCACTGCCTCGCTTGTCAATTTTATGACCCTATAGTACATTCTTAACTTTGCCAAACATAAGCATTCGTTTAACTACTTAAAGTCATATAAAGAAAACTTAAGATGAAAGAAAACATTGCATTTAGTCACTTCTGAAAACCCTGGACATTTAGTTGTGTTTTTAATGCAGAGAGCATGAAGCATCCGCTGTGGCCTTCTCTCGTCCTTTTTATCACACATCACCGTCTAGACAGCTCTTTCTATTAAACACACCTGTGCATACAGAAAAACACTCCAAACAAACTTTAACTCAGGTGAACTCTGAGTTTGATAAGCTTTTGAAACAGATGAACTTTCAGAAAGTAATCCATGTGAATCAGCACTTTGAAAGAGTGAGGTGCGCAGGTTCTTTGGGTCACATCAGGACTGAATGTCAGAGTGTCATTTTAATTACACTGTCTGTATTTAACAAAAACGACAAGAGCACTCAGCTACATGGAAGTCACATCCAAAATCAATCAAAGCCGTAAAAAGTGTTATTATTTTTTTGTGACTGGGCACAGCATTCATCCTTGCAAACCCAAGCAAGTCTACTTTAGAAAGATGAAAATAAAGTTCCTCTAGTAGGGGTGGGTGATCTGATGATTTTATATTGTAACCGATCTCAAAGTTGGAGATGGTGACTCTTTATGTCCTTGTAATAATGTTACAACTACAGCAATGAGTGAATGGCTGCACTCACTGGTCACATTATATCATGTGTCTTTCATGTGTCCTGAAATATTTGAAAAAAAATTAAATATAAGCTAGGGCTGGGCGATTTTTCAGATTTTATCAATTAATTCGAATTTAATGTTTTGCCACGATTTTATTTTTTTATAAATCGAGGAATCACGATTTTGAATTACCAAACGTTAGAATTAGACTCTTTGACAATATGCCAATGTTAACAGTAAAGAGAAAAGAACGATCCAACTGCATGTCGGCGCATGTGATTAAGCGCTCATGTGTGACACACTCATATCGCTATAGGTGCCATTCAGTCAAACTGATGTTTACATGGAAAAGCAGCACAATCGAATAAAAAACCTGTAAAGAACTAGGCCTGTATGTCTGACATTTCATGTATGCATCATGGTGACAGGCTGAAAGCTGCTGTTCATTGTTTTTATAGAAGATTTATAGTTAATAATAGTCTTCTGGTGTTATACCTTCAGTCCTTTTGAATTTGAATTGCCTTGACTTTTGAGTTTTTAAAAAAAGCATTTTCCTTGTATTATTCCTTGCAAGGCTCCTTGTATTTTCTTAACATATAATATGTATAAGACAAGTTTGTACAAGATTTAGTTGTAGTTCATGCATCTTTTCTGCAAAGATATTTAACAAGTGATTTGTTTAACATTTACATCATGTTGACAACTTCATGTGTGCTGCACTTGGAATAGAATTCTCTTTAATTAGAGGGCTAATAAAGAAAAAGTTACTTGAATCATGTTGTAGTTACATTTTCAAGCTGACAAGCTAGAAATCATAAAAAATCGAGAATCGGTCAAACGTTCTGAAAAAAAATTGAGATTTAAATTTTTTGCCACATCACCCAGCCCTAAGGGCTGTGCACTGAATAAATTTTTTAAAAAATATTTATTTTTGGTGTTTTGCTTTTATTATGATACGACAGAAATCGAAGCGGGAAAGAGAGAGGGGGGCCGGATCGGGAAAGGTCCTCGATCCAAGATTCGAACTCTGGACGCCCGTAACTCAACAGCGTTATATTTCGGAGCACTTGCCCACTAGGCTATCATGCCATGAATCATATTTTAATTGCAGTTTCGATTTTGGCTTCCAAAAATTCTGAAAATGTGATAATCAAGCTAAAATGATCATTGTGCCGCATTAAGTTCTTTTACTTTAAATCGGTGTGCTCTCTAACGTCAGAATCAGTCAAATCATGAAAAGTGCCTGTCGTAAAATACAGTGTATATGCCGATCACGGCTGTTCCCCAGGAGATTTCTGTGCGTAAGCTTGAAGACGGAACAGAACAAGGACAAGCAAAGTATAATTGGGGTTTCAGGCATGCACCTAAACGGTCAAATATACACATCAATGTATGTGTGAAGCACTAACTACAAGAGGTGTTTCACTGCAGTTATTGCTGCTAATGGAAGCGTAAACAATTACTAACTCCATGGGGTAATTACTTTTTCCACACAGGGTGTAATAGACCTTTCTTCATAAATGACAAATGTAGCCTATTACTGTGTTTTTCATTCTCAAAGGCTCACTTTTATGCATTCATTGCAGTGTTGTTACTGTTAAAGGAGACCTATTATGCAAAATTCACTTTTATGAGGTGTTCGAACACAGATGTGTATCCACAGTGTGTGTAAACAACAAACCTATAATGGTAAAAAATCCAACCACTCCTTTTTTTGTAATCCCCATAAGACATAAGCTGTTTCCATCCACCTATTTTTATGCGCATTTTGGATTATCGCATAAAAAACCGCTGGATGGAAATGCCAAGATGCGCATAAATTCTAAAAATGCACATAAAAAACGTATGCGCACAATTGAGTAGGATAAACTTTTTATCCGATAAGAAAAAATGTGCATAAACTACGATGGAAACACATTTACCGAATAAATTCCACCATGCGCATTGAAAAAGTGATGTGACTTTGCACTATGAGACGGGATAACTTGACTAACCAGCGGACCGATCTCGTTCACAGCATCTACAGGTGCATCTCAATAAATTAGAATGTTGTGGAAAAGTTCATTTATTTCAGTAATTCAACTCAAATTGTGAAACTCGTGTATTAAATAAATTCAATGCACACAGACTGAAGTAGTTTAAGTCTTTGGTTCTTTTAATTGTGATGATTTTGGCTCACATTTAACAAAAACCCACCAATTCACTATCTCAACAAATTAGAACATGACTGCGTTCCCAAACAGCAGGCATCCACCTCTAAAAGCAATGACCGCATTTATTGTGTTACGTCTGCTCTCTCTGAAGCGCAAGTAATTTATTACATATGAAAATTATTATATTCAATGGCTTCTCCTAGTTTTCTTAGAGATATTTAGTGCCAGTTTATCAGGAAGTGATGATTTTGTTCTCTTCGACTCGTTGGATGGAAACGGTGCTTTATTCGCAAATGTTTTATGTGATATTCCAGTTTTCCGCACAAGTTAAATTCGCATGTTTGGATGGAAACATAGCTACATAAGTCTCTCCAAACGAGCAGTTACAGATTTCCCCCTACTGTGATGTCACAGTAGGGACAAGCATAGATATGTATAGGTAGATGCCACGGACCCACTTTATATTAGGTGGCCTTAACTACTATGTACTTACATTTAAATTAATCATTTGGTACAGTGCACTTATTGTGTACATACATGTTTTTACATTGTACTTATATTTTTTAAAATACCTGTATGTAATTACATCTGTAATTAATTTCTGTAATTACATTTATAATTACACTGTTGACCCATCCCTTACACCTTAATCCACACTTAAACCTACCCATACCACCAAACCTGTCCTTAACCTTACCCGTATCCCACCTCAATAGCAGCAAAAGTGTTTTGCAATACAATATGAACACAACAAGTACATTGTACTTATTTTTTGATGTAAGTACATAGTAGTTAAGGCCACCTAATATAAAGTGTGACCGATGCCACATTTGATTGTCCAGATACTTGATGCGTCCTCCATCTTGGAACCGTCTATGCCGTCACTTACAATAACAATCAACGAGTTTCAAGATGCAACAACATTGTGCAGCATCTGGTTGTAAAAACCGCCTAAATTTAAATTCCTGAAGAAACTGGATAAATTTTCATATGTAAGAATGTACTGGTTTGTGTTTTTAATATATATGAACTCAATATTACAGGTTTTTAAACTAAAGTACCTTTTAAATGCCTTGTTAGCTAACGGCTTCGTCCTGATGTATTGTGTTAGTTTAGCAAAAGCATCTTCTGAAGTCTACTGAAGATATAAATATTCATACATGCATATAACTACAGTTGCAGTGCAGATGCACCAGCAACTTGCTCTTGAGTGTTGCTCTCGATATGTCCTCCAATATGGTGGACGGCTTACATATATAGGCCCATAGAAACAGCCGCTAATAGGGCATCTACCTATGTATAGGCCTCTGGTGACGATCTGCCCTAGCATAGATCCTGCTTTGCAAATGAGGGTCATTAAAATGCAGGACTTGCACAGAAGTTGATTCTCAAAGATGGATCAATACCAACTGTTCATGATCCAACTTTATATCCAGCACACACAAGTACCTCACTTTATATTTTGTTAATGTTTGCAATTCACCTTTCTGAATGTGCTTGCTAACACCAGAGCCATGTTGTTATTTTTATTTTTAACCCGAAAATGCTCACCATCTGTATAATTCATAAACACACCTTTATTGCTTCTTAAAAATAAGTAACGACATAGCTCTCACAGTCTCTGTGAATACAGTCAGAGACAATGGGAGCTTTAGCCATATTAGCATACAGCGAGCTAACAAGCACATTCAGAAAGGCCATTTGCAAACTTTTACAAAATATAAAGTGCGGTACTTACGTGTTTTATTAACTAAAATCAAGCTGAAACAAGATAAGTATTAGATGGAAAACTTGCTGAAAATTAAAAATGTTGCCTTGTCAACTAACTTAAATAAATTAGTTTAAACTGGAGTACTAAAAGTACTAAAATTAAAACTGAAATAAAAACAAATTAAAGCTAAAATTGTCACAGTCTTCAGCGGGTGTGCCCAGGAGGGCCACCAGATGACTGTGTTCTGTGAGCACATGGCTTGTGTTGTGTTTGTCTGTTGCCATGTGCTCTCTCCTGTCTATTGTCTTGCCCCTCCCATCTTGTTACCTCGTTATTGTTTTAGTTGCTCCACCTGTGTCTCCCTCGTTAGCCTCCTCGTTTGGTTCCCATTTATTCTCCTTGTGTCTGTCATCCTGTGCTGATCCGTCATTTCTCATTGTGTGTGTTTCGTGTCTGCATGTGTGCCGCTTTAGGCCTGCCTGTCTGTTTTTCCCCTTCGGGGTGGTTTGAGTTTTTTTCATTTTTATTATTAAAATAAATAACCATTTCTCCTGCAATTGAGTCCTCGCTTCATCTCCCCGCACGCACCGTGACAAAAATGAAATAAAAACTAATAAAAATCACAAAAGTTTGAAAATTTAAAATGAAAACTCAAAATATAAAAATAAACGCTACTTCAAAATATATAAACAATAAAAATGAATAAATAAAAATAAATAACACTAAGGGGGTTGGTTGAAGATCTGATGGCATTCAGTGTAAACTTTTTTTTAAAAGAGTTTTTTATTGATAAGGTCAATCGGATTCGGTCGGATATTGTGCCCGTAGGGAATGTTGTAGCCACGGTAATAAATCCGTTTCATTGTTTGAGTAAATTTGATTCGATTACATTAGCTCAGTTGGAAAATATAATACTGCATTTAAAGCCGACTACCTCGCTTTATGATATTCTCCCATCTCGATTGTTTAAGGAGGTGGTAGACAATATTAGTCCCAGTATATTATCGATTACTAACAGTAGTTTATTTTATGGCATTGTACCATTAGGGTTTAAGCATGCTGTTATTGAACCAGTCTTAAAGAAAACAAACTTAGATTCACAGGATCTCAAAAATTTTAGGCCTATATCCAAATTGCCTTTTATGAATAAGATTTTAGAGAAAGTTGTCCATAATCAACTTGTTGACTTTTTGGTTGGAAATAACATAATGGATATTTTTCAGTCTGGATTTAGGACCAAATGTATGCTCCCGGCGCCTATTTATACTATAGTCGCACCGGTAGTGACGTCATGGCTGTCGCCGGCCAACGAGTTGGTGTTTTTTCAATGTATGCTTCAGACACGGGTCACGACGAGGCGTTCCCCATAGCAACCCCTAGAGGACGCAGTGTCTCGTTCCCTACTCAGGGAACCATGGTTACATAAGTAACCTGAGACGTTTCTCGTCTTCAGTATGTCCAAAATGCTGCTGCAAGAATCTTAACAAACACCAGAAAACGGGATCATATAACGCCTGTATTGATATCTCTTTACTGGTTACCTGTAAAATACAGAATACAATACAAGGTGTTAATGTTTGTCTATAAAGCATTACACGATCAGGCTCCTGAGTATATAAAGGACATGTTAATTTCTTACCCGTCTCAACGCCATCTGCGCTCCTCTCAGAATATGCTCCTAACTGTCCCACGGTCTCGGTTGAGGCGTAGTGGAGACCGCGCTTTTTCTGTTGCGGCTCCTACTCTCTGGAATGTGTCACCATTTTCTATAAAATCCTCGGCAAGCATGGACATTTTTAAAAAGGACTTGAAGACGTACTTATTTTATCAAGCTTTCGGCGTTTAAATAGGTCGGAGAATTGTGAGGGATTGGCTGCATGTTTTTCTTGATGTTATGTTTTGTTGTTATTTTATGTTTGCATGTATTTTAGTATTATTTTTACTTATGGACAGCACTTTGGTCCATTTTAATGGTTTTGAAAGTGCTTTATAAATAAAAATTGAGTTGAATTGAGTTGAGCAAACATTTGATAACAATTCAGAAAATCAGACAGGGGCCAAATATTTTTTCACAGCATGGGTCCCAGTATTTAATCCAGCATGTCTGTTTAGGTCTTATCTAATTATCTTATACCTCTGCATCTGCTTTCCCCCCCAAAAAACACTTACAAAATGTGAAAATCAGAAAACAGCCTTTTAATATTGGGCAGCACTATCATGAAATGTGTCTTTTATGCCAGCAAGCTGTGATAGCTCTGCAGACGCTTAGTTAGATTAGAGGCTTTTTACGACTGCAAATTGGATGTAATCGAATCTTCCCTTTCACAGCAGTAAAAAGCGCTTCAAGACAGAATGAAAAAAGAGTGCCACCTCCACTTATGCTGATAGTGTAGAACAAATGCTTGAAGAAATCAGAGGAAGAGCAATTTAATGTAGATCAACAAGATGAAAATGGGCAGTTTGGGGCGAATAGATAATCTATAAACAAAATCATCCACAGAAAAAGGAATAAAGCTGAAGAAGTGCTCACCTCGCAGCTCTGCCACCTGTTAGGGATGTTGGCACGAAGCTTTTGGTCACACACTACCCGCTTCATGTCCTCTATTGACGGATCAGATGGTACAAGGTCATAGTAGGGCAGCTGGTAGTCCTCATGGATGCCTGAACAGAGAATGCAGCCCACAAGAGCATATCTATATATGCTGTTACAATAAAAGAGTACTGTACCTAATATATAACACAAAGTAGGCTCCAAAAACCTGAAACCAATCTGGGATTAATTATAATTAGTGCTGTCAAACAATTATTCGCATCCAAAATAAAAGTTTTTGTTTACATAGTATATGTATGTGTACTGTGTATATTTATTATGTACATATAAATATACACATATACAGTATATATATTTTTGAAAATATTTAAATGTATATACATTTATATATTTATATTCTTATATTTTAAATTATATATAAATATATTTAATACATAAAAATAACATCTTTTTCTTAAATATATACATGCATGTATTTGTATTTATATATACATAATAAATATACACAGTATACACACATATATTATGTAAACAAAAACTTTTATTTTGGATGCGATTAATCGTGATTAATCGTTTGACAACACTATAATACAATATAACATATTACATATTAATTATATCTAATCAGATAATAATAATAATTTGAAATGTTTTAATGCAATTGTTTTTTAATTAAACTACAAAAATTTAAAAATCAATGAACTAGTTGCACTGTTGTTATATACATGAACACAGAAAATAAATAAGACACTGAAGAACATAAATCCAGTCATTATCATCATTTTTTACCACAGTGTCGTACCTCCAATTGAACACCTGCGAGCAATTTCCCAAAACACCAGACCCAAGGCATAGATGTCTGCCCTTTTAAAAGACTCAAAATGCTTCATGTTAATGGAGTCATCCAGCACCTCAGGGGCCATATACCTGTGAACATGACAGATGACATTAGAAATCCCTCAGCTTAACATTATTAACACGGTTGCTCATTTTGACAAACTTTACAAAACAACCCACTGGAATGAACTACACATTTTCTGTGAAGAGCATGACTTTCGGTAAAATATGCTCACAAAATCTTTAACAATTTTCAGTATTACTTTTACATGCGCTGGAATGAAGTGTGACACTGACAAGCAGTTTTATCTGCTATTTTTCTTCAAGAAATTACCAAGATTAAAAACTGAGAAACATAATCAAGGAAATCAGGTATTACAGTCAAATGAATTACAGTCGAATGACAGAGACGCATCAAGTGATTACAAAAGATCATTTTAGTTTCTGCAAAAAAAAACAAAACAACATATATATATATATATATATATATATATATATATACACACATACACACACACCTGGTGGGGAAAAGCAATTTTTGCTAATCAAAATCCACAATTCTCAGAACAAATGAACTGATCAATCCATATTCAACTGTCCTGCCACTGTAATGCAATAAATCCCATCGTAAATTGGAATGGACTGGCTAGACGGAGCACCAGGACTTCAACACCCATCAGGTTATATAAGAAAAGGTGTTTTGAAAGGGAAAAAAGTTCAGATTGGAGGCCGTCCCATTTGTAATATGTTCAAATGTTATTTTTGCTGAAAATCAACACAAAAATTGCTGCAAATATCACCAAAATGTTTGAGAAAAAAAACTATTCAAATTCAGTAATTTTGGGCTGCAAAACTCAGAAAAAAGTCAGCAAAATCCTGGTGGGAATTATATATGCTCATTTTGGAATGAAAGGAGACACTTTTATTTAAAGATATAAAAAATACACAGATTCACTAATGTAAGGTTTAACATTTAACTTTATCTTTGGATAATTTAATGCAAAATGTGTTTTAAGGCAGGACCTCCATAGACTCACATTGGAAAAGGGTAAAAAAAGGGTCCCACTTATTAGGTGGGATCCTTAACTACTATGTACTTACATAAAAAAAACAAGTACAATGTACTTTTTGTGTTCATACTGTATTGCAAGACACTTTTGCTGCTATTGAGGTGGGATACGGGTAAGGTTAGGGACAACAGTGTAATTATAAATGTAATTACAGAAATTAATTACATGCAGGTATTTAAAAAAAAATATAAGTACAATGTAAAAACATGTATGTACACAATAAGAGCACTGTATCAAATGATTAGTTTAAATCTAACTATACAGAATAAGGCCACCTAATATAAAGTGGGAGCAAAAAAAAACTTGTTGGATAATATGGCAGATAGCAATAGTTGTTAAGGTAGGATTGCTCAAGGCAGAGCTTTAATGGTTCAGCTGCTGAGGGTGTCTTGTGGGTTGCACAGTGGCCTAAAACACGGTTTTCCTTTGAAAACCATGAAGACGGAGCTAGACGACATCACTCAAGTGAGCCCTAGGGGGACAGAAGACTGTGAGGAAGCACTTTGACATTCAAAAGTCACATTCAGTTATCATCACAGCAGGACATGGTAATGGGTGTTGTATACTGGAAAATATGAATGTCGGTGTGTGGGTGTCACAGCCTGTCACACCCAGCAGTAGTCTAGGTAAGTGTGTGTGTTTGTGCATGTAGTGTCCAGGGGCAGAGAAGAGAATGGGTGCACCGCTGAGAGCTTCTCGCGGTAGATTCGATGTGACACTCTTGTGGTGACAACAGGGGGAGTAGCATCCCAACAGCCCTGTCCTTCACAGCCCTGTCCTCTGAGTCATCTCAAGATCTCAGGCCTGTTGAGGGGGTCCGAGAAGTGTGGTTCCACTCTCAACAGTTTCAATAGAAGCTGTTTTTAGACTAACGAGAACGTTTTGAGTTCTGAAACTTGCAGGATGTTTTATCAATGACCTCTCATATGTCAAAATATCAAGGAAATTTTGGTTTCTCAGTTCATGACCCCTTTAAATTGAATGATGGTACACTTTAAAGGGGTCATATGATGTTGCTAAAAAGAATGTTATTTTGTGTATTTGGTGTAATGAAATGTGTTTATGCGGTTTAAGATAAAAAAAACACATTATTTTCCACATACTATACATTATTGTTTCTCCTCTATGACTCGTTTTTTACAAAGCTCATTGGTCTGAAAAGCGAGGTGTGCTGTGATTGGCCAGCTATCCAGTGCATTGTGATTGGCCGAATACCTCAAGCGTGTGACGGAAATGTTACGCCCCTTACCATACTGTGATGCCATGTCCCATAGCGACGAGACAAAAACATTAAAACCCATTATAAACAAGGCATTTGTTGCATCCAAAAATATATACAGATTATAATGACTTACTCTGTCTTCTGGCTGTGTCTGGTCGATATGAGGGACGCCGACAAAGTTCGGTTCCTTAATGCCCCTGTGTCCCAGACCGGCCTCTTCGGCGATGCGGTTGAGAGCCTGGCCCAGCAGCTCTCGGCTGTACAGAAGCAGACTGAGGCGTCCACCAGGGCGTAGGCAGGCCGCCCCACCCGTCCTGGCCCCCGTCAAATCTGGCAGTGAGCAAAAGAGCAAGAGGCCCCGGGACGGGCGACCCAGAGAGGGAGGAAGCTGCTCTTGGGGGATGGTGAAGGCACCTCTCCCTCCCCCGGAGGAGGGCCGGGTGGAGAATCTGGAAAATCTCGACGAAAGAGTGGTTTTCTCTGTCCCTGGGTCCCGGGAGGGTACGGAGAGTCGTGGACGGACCAGCACCAGACCACGCTCATCCTCCTCCTTCGCCAGCTGGCAGCAGCGGGTGGTTCGAGAGAGTCAACGAAGGCCCTACTCACACACCCTCTGCCAACCTGTGGAACCAGGTAAGCGTTGCACCGCTTCTTCGGTCCGCTCACAAGCCGCCCGAGTTGGGTCCCTGCGTTCCACTTCGCTGCCCCACTGCGGGGCCCACTGGATAGTGGATGCCATCACCCTGGCTTATCAGGCACAGGGTGTGCCCTGCCCATTCAGGTTGCGAGCTCATTTAACTAGAGTGTTGCATCCTCCTGGGCGATGGCTCGTGGCGCCTCGTTGGCAGATATCGGTAGAGCTGCGGGCTGGGCGACCCCTAACACGTTGGCTAGATTCTTAGCCTTCGTGTGGAGCCGGTATCCTCCTGTGTTCTCACCCCCGGCTTCGGGTCGGCTTGCAAAAACCACTCCAGAGAGTCCATATAGTAGACCCTGTTGAGCTCCTCCGTCCCTTCGGCAGCCAGACGTGACAGAGCGTCCGGTGCCAGGCCTTCACTTCCCGTAGAAGGCTGGGTTCCATATGTAAGACCTAAGTGAATCCCATATGCGAAAAGTTTACAGTATAGCCTGAGTGCCCGTGTTTCCCCGGCAGACTTCTGCCATTCCATGAGGGTTTCAATCACCTCCATTCTTCCATATGCACCTAGACGAGTGTTCATATGAGTATTGCTTCCGAAACCTCCTTCAGGAAAGATGGAGCTTCTGCAACGTTCCTGTCCCAAGTGGAACGGGTACGTTTTCCCAGTGTTATCCAGTCCTACTCATTGGGTAGTGCCATAGCAGCAGTAGCTGGTCCTCTTGTGAAGAAGCCCTGGCCTACGCCAAAAAGTAGGGGCGCAGGTGGCTTCCACAGGACACTGGAAGGGGC